ACTCCAAAAAACAAGGCGAAAATAAGCCCCCCCCACGTACAAACGCAGGGTATTGTAAGACCTGAGGATATTTGCTCCCCTTTTTCACGTTGGTTTGTCCGTTAACCCAATTCTGTTACTTTTGGATATGCTTTCTTCAGTCAGTTAGACTGCGCATTTTTAAAGAAGCTGAAAAGAAGAATAAAAGAAAACCTTTTCCTTTGTTTCTTTTTGCTGGTTTAAAAAATACAAAGCGTTAAAAAGAAACAAAGGGTTGATTTTCGGGCTTTCGGTTATAGCAAACTTTTTTATTCGTCTTCCGTTTTTTTCTTCCAATCTCCCCCCTGCCCTGCACCAATAGCTAGAACTAAATTTAACAAAAATACGGCAGTTGGAGCAGTTTAGTTGAAGTTGGAAACTACCTTGTGTTTGTTCGAACGAGCCCAAACAAGCGACAGAAGATTGAATATAAGGTGGAGCTCGATTGCAGCACCAAAAAGAGCTGGAAAATAAAATTAGATTGAAAATACACTTCAAAAAAATAAGGATCCGAGAACAAAAAGTTGGTAAATCTGGGTTTTTTTGTCTATCCCTCTTTTGTGTCCATCCAATCCAATCCAACCCAATCCAACCCAATCCAACCCCATTGCTCGACCCAAGTGTATTGTGCATAAAACTCGCAGGCATCCAGTGTTCAGCATTTATCGCGAGCTTCTGCCCAATTCATTTTCCACTTTTTAATGCCCCATGAGGCTTCTGCTGCGGGAGAGAAGAGGGAAAAAAGGCGTTTTTATTTTATTTTTTACTTCTTGTATTCCGGCCAGATGACCTGTTTGTGCGTGCGTATGCGTGCCTCAATTGAGAGTGCCCGAAACCCCTTTTTCTATCACTTTACTTGCCTCAACTATAAAAATAAGAATGAAATTATAAAACCCTGGGACACACAGCTTTTCTTAGTGTTTTGTTTCGTTTTCTTTTCAACTTGTTTTTAAAAATACTTTATTTTTTTCGACACTTTTTTCGTCTTTTTATTTTTATTTTTATTTTTATTTTTGCTGACACAGCTTGTTACACGTGTTTTCTGTTTTTATCACCCTGCAGCTTTCTCGCTTTTGGGCATACAATCCGCGGGCACACAGAATAAATCTCGCACTTGATCAGTAAAAAAATCTAAAGGGTGGAAAAAATAAATACAATCCAGAAAGAGAAGAAAAACAATCTGGATTGTCCTCGAGCCAAAAGAGAGAATTTTGTTTCGCAAAAACAATGTCGTCGCATCGCAGCAACAGCAGAAATAAAACCACATCGAGCCGGTTAGTCTCTTTGACCAGCAAACCAGTAGCAGAACCAACATCTGATTTCCAACAATCTTCCGAGGGAGGAGGACAAACCGACACAGAGCCTTTTTCTCCCACCTCACCTCGTTCTTCCTTCCAATCAGCACGAATTTCAACACGTTCAAATCCACTCCTCCGCCTTGCATCTTACAATTCAAATTCCACCAACAGCACAGCCACTTCCAAACACACCGCATTTTACACCGCGCACAGCCACCCCGTAACATACACCACCTCTTACCACACAGCCGACGAGTTCGAAGTTGGCCCGAGCCACCAGCACCTAATAGAAATGACCCAGAACACATTTGGAGATAGCAGGAAGGAGCTGGGACGCGCGGAGTACAATGAGGACGAGGAGCTGGTCAACGCTATGGCGAGACAGTATGTTTTGGACGCTGAGGCTGCCGGATCAGCATCGCCGTCGCATAGGTCAAGGCAGAACACGGATGCTAGCCGTATGGCCACCCTCCATAGCATTGACGCGTCGGAGGAGGATTTCCCACCGCAACTGCCGCTGCTCAAGCATATGGTCGACCAGCAGCAGCAGCAGCACGCTAATGCAGGCAGCCACGTAGTCATGCCCATGCCAATGCCTGCGGAGGCATACGCATGCACAGACGAGAAGCACGCAGTCGGCTCACCACTAGGCCGCAACAACCGGGCTGACCAAGGCAGAAGCGGGTCAGTCACCACAGGCTACGACGAGGACTACGAGTCCAACGGCGGCAACATTGGCAATGGGCCCCGGGCACTAAGCGAGAGGCTGCGCGACGAAGAAGTCGAGGATGACGCCAATGAGGCACGCCTCTTTGTGTCTGCTCGCCAGAGATACCCACCTCCTAAATACTCGTACAGCGCTGATTCGTCCGTACCCTTGGGCGCAATTCTGTTCTTGCTCGGCTTTGTTCTCCTGCCGCTTTGGTGGATTGGAGCTGTGTTTCCGCGCACGCCTAATTCAGATGTTGTGCGTACTTGGCGCAAGTACAATGCGCTAATGACCCTCCTGTCACTGCCGCTTCTGGGCTTGTTCCTGGCCCTGGGTGGATGGCAGGCTGTCCACGGCTGAATTTCTGCTTTTTTTTATAAACAAACTAATCTTTTCTCAATGTATAAAAAAAATCTCGTCTTGTATTTCTCCCAAAAATACCGTTTTATTTTGTATTTGGCAGTAAAAGCACAATGTGTTGTTTTTTCATCTGAATTGAGCAAAAATGCTGCTTTCTCGTGCATTCTATTGTGTCCCCCTTTGTTGCTTGTGCTTATATGTGAGTACGAGTGTGTGAGAAAAGATGTGCTACTTTTTTTTCTAATTTAGGTGTGGTGTCCTATCACAATGACATAAATATCTTGAGATCCATCGTCGGAAATAGTCAGCAATATCACTAATAAATAATACATTTTCCTAACTCGGCCCCCCTCCGCCAACTTACATCCTTACATCCCATGACTAGTGTCCATTCTTCGATGGCGGTTTCAGAACACACGAACAAGTGCAACATGTCAAAACAACAACCATGTTCCGAGGTCATCCTGCCCTGAGGAAAAAATCAAGGATGTTTTTTCTTTTGTTGTTTGCTTCCTTCTTGTGTTTCAATTTATTATTCTCAACACTTTTTCAGCAATTTTCCATTTCATATGAACGATTTACTGCGGTTGATTGATTAAAGGTAAATTATACGTATAATATTGGGGTCAAATTGATTATTGTGGGAAATACAAGGTGGCGTTGGTGTTTTGGAACAGCGTGCTTGCATACGTGGTGTGCGTGCTTGTTTATTTTAATATAAGGAACAACAACAACAAAAATCCTTACTGCCTTTTACTTTCTCCTACCCCCACCTTTTTTTATCGTGCGTTGTTCCGCTTATTTTGAGTGGCTGGATCACATTGGGCTGGGGAAAAATAAAAAATTATCTCTCGGGTTGGTCCATCCTTTCCCCCCCTTCTTTTCTCCACAGAGAAGAAAAGAAAGTAAAAACCGATTCCAACCATGCGGAAAACCATTTCATTCCTTTTCTTTTCCTGTTCTCTACTAACTTTATTATTTCATTCGCATATACAATCACTCCTTTTCATTCATTTTTTATTATTACATACTAGCACAACACAAAAAGCAACACATAATGACCACTATTGATGACGACAACAGCCGGCAGCAGCAAACCTACCACCGCCGCCAGGACAACAAACTAATTTACACAATCAAACGACTGTTTGGTTTCCATAGCATAAAGCACCGTGATATACCAACAGAGGAGACAAATATGCATTTGGCAATGGCAATTGCTGAGCAATATATCATTGTTGCTGAAGGGTTTCCATACCAAGAGGCGGGAAAATCCAGAGCAGGGACAACCGAGGGATCACCTACAAGTAGTTATCAGCACACATTTGCGGATGATGCTAATGTTGGTAAAAAGGGCGGGTGGAGACGGAAAGTAAGGAAATCTTTTGGGCATTCGTCAGCGTCTAATCTAACGGTTACTGAGTAAATGTATGTGGATCCCTGGAAGGAAGGGTTTTTTTAAACTTTTATTGTTTGATGATCCCTAGTTTTTTTTTACGTTTGTTGAATTATTCCTGTATAATATTATTTTTTCACCATGGTTTTGGGTGTTTATTTTTTCTCTCAGTATGCAAAACTTGATGCTGTGCCACACATATTTCATGGGTGTTTGCTGTTTTCAAAACCTTTTTTTCAATTTTCATGGACACAAATATGGACATGCACATGCACATGGACATGGACACGAGCATTGTCAGTACTGATTTTTTTTATTAAAGGCTGCATTATAATATAAACATATTGTCTTTCTTTTTTATCGTTGCCATGTTTTTAATAAGAGATAAATGAGAATATATATTTTTATAATAAAGTGGTAGTTGGCTTTTCCTTTTTCCCCCTTTTTTATTACGCTTTTTGTATAATCTATTTGATTGTTCTTTGACAAAATCCATTTGTACTAAGACAACTGGTCCAAAAAAAAGCTCACGTCTTTATTTTTATAATTGTCAAAAGTAGTCCACAATTCCTCCACACACTATTTAAATACACCTATCCCCACTCCGCCTCATCACATATCATCCGTCCCAACCTCTTCTCTATTCTCATCCACATTTTTAATAATTTTTTTAAAGTTCAACTTATTCTTGTACATTATACACATACATACATACTTTTTTTACTGCCATGACTACTGAATTCGACCTCCGCGTAGACTACTTTGCCACCTACAACAACCAGGCCGAAGCCATTTTCAAGGTATCCTCTACTACCTTGCTGTCTGAGCTCAAGAATGAAATCGGCACACAGCTTCCCGTTGAGTCTCCTAACCAGCGCCTCTTCTTCGTTCATGGAGATGACGAGTTTTCTGATGCGGAAGTCATTACGCTGCTTGATGGCTCTGACGAGAAGTCCCTGGACGAGCTGAATATTTCGCCCAATACTGAATGTCTTTTCTTACACCTCCTTCACTAAAAAAAAACTTTTTTAAGTGGCTTTTTTTTGTTTAAATGAATTTTACCATTTGGTAAATTTCGTGTCTATCATTTTCAATATCAAATAAATATACATATGCATTTATAAAAAAAAAGCAGCTCAAAATTTGCTATAATATTGCAATCTTGTGGAATAACTGTACAGCCTGCAATTAATGCAAAGCTTGTAGCAGTTTCATAACAAATCCCAGATTAAAGATAATTTATTTACGTAGAGTGTATTTTTTTTACAAAATTCAAATCAAGTGCTATTATAATAAAAAGTCGGCGTGAAAAACACCAACCCACTGCTATCACTATTTTCTCTGCGTTCCTTCTCAAACTCTGCTCTAATTTACTTTGCGGCCGACAGAGACATTGGAAAATCCACATGTTCTATAATGTCCAGCACCAGAGTCGGGATTTTAACCAACGGCTCAACTTGAAAAATATCCTTGGTCCACCAGTCCTGCTGCTGCGGCGGCACAATCTCTGTCGACACAATAGGATCTGTTGGAATAACAAAGTATAATATCAGCATCTTGCAGTGTCCTGGGATATTCTTGTTGACCAGATGTAATTGCGAAAGGCGGCGTTGGTATGTGTTGGGGAACACTATGCAACGTCCATTCTGGATCTTGACTTGGCCGATTTCTTGCGAAATATCGATACTATCAGAGTTGAAATGCATTTCCTCGTCCTCGTCTTCTTCATTATCACTACCATTGTTATCCGCATGGGCTCTGCGTCTGTTGCGACCGTTGCGCACATTGTCAAAAATGCCGTAGGCCAGGTCAAGCCCGCGCTCACCACATTGCTCGTGCTCGATATCATCGTCAACTAACTCGCGGAACTCCAAATGCATGTCAGTTATGTTATCCACGTCATAGCAACACACCCCTATAGCAACAATTCTTCCTTGCGATATTGCCTCAAGGCGCCAGCGGTCATCATTATACACGGGTGTTTCCGGCGTCAAGTCAATGTTTGTCATTCTAACCACAGCCTGCAGCTGTCGGCCCCTTAAACTGAAGGGTATTTGAGGTCGTTCGGGTAATTCAAACGGTTCTGGCTGGGGCTCGATAAATCGGTGTCTCGCTTGCCACGCATCAAAGCGCTCGTCATAATCCGGCGCACAATAGTCCCTGGGCTCTGGCTCATCGGCCACCAGCCAGTTGGAGCAATTCGGCATCACACGAGACTTGCGAGGGTAAACAACATCCGTGACAACGTTTTCCAGCAACGGCACGCACTTTGAAAATACCTCGGCAATGACAGGATAAAGCAAAGCATACTTTAATGGGTTGAGGTTGTTGATGTACGACTTTATCTCCACCTGTCCATCCGCAGAAATGAGGAACTCGGACGGTAACCAGCAAAACTCTTGTGATGCTGTTCTTGTATTTGGCGCAACCGAAAATGGATACCTTTTGCTGATAGGTGACCACAGGAACGCACTCTTAATTTCTCTGTCCCAGTCGTCAATGTTGCCTGGAAACTGTCCAAATGATTGCATTTTCAGCGCCGCCTCAGGAGACTTGATTCTCGTACCCACAAAGCTAGACCTCTTGTACGACAGCGGATACATCGACGGACCCACAATATTACGCACCACGTAATTACTCTCCAAACACCATCCCTTGGACTCACTTTCCAACCTCATCGACCACCTCTTTAATTGCTCCAAAGTATCCCCCTCAACCAGCGTATCGCTCAGCCATACTTGTTCGACAGCACTTAATATGACACTACTATCAGGAATATGCAGAGTAGCGTAATATGCGAGCTCCTTGAGTACGTACCCAGTTTCAATATCTGTAAGACCCTGTGAACGGGCTTCAGTGACCCAGTTGTTGCGGGTATTTGTATCAGAAATGTTTGTAATCCAGTCGGGCTTACTGCAGATAATCCCGCTCATCTTGCGGAGACGGCGCTCGCACTTGGTGTTGAGTTTCCTAATGGAACCTACAAAAAATATCCCGTAAGGGTTGTTTTTGCGAATACGAGCTTCGAGAGTCGCTTCATCATTCATGTTTGATTGTGCCAATGACTATTTAAAATGAATGTTAAAAAAAGCTATGAAAATAAGCGGGGAAAAATAACGATGAAATAATAAATGCAGAGAAGAGAAAGGCGGAAAGAATTGGTTTGAACAACAATTCAAAAGAAAAAAGAAAAAATACGGAATCTAAAAAGGAATTAGGTCACTTGAAACTTTTTATTTGCCGCACTTTGAAAAACGCAAACATTTGTACAGTTGGTTTTTTTTATCAGCTGTAAGTAAACCAATATAATAAGGTAATAATAATTTATATGACCTTTGAATTGAAAACATGTTTGACTAAGGATTGCCAAACCGCAGCACTTAAAGTTCAAAAGCTGACCCTGCATTTTTTTCCTTTGCAGACTCGATTGTGAACAAAACCAATACATATTTTTGCTTGACTTCCTAAAGCCCTATTATACAATTTTTTTGTTAGCTATTGTTTTTTTAATCTTTTTTGTATTGTTTATTTTCGCTCTTCAATTGTTGCGCACCCCAGGGATATGAAAGTGGATGTCGAGGTCGAGAATCGTGAAATGAGCCTCCATCTGTATGCCGATTGATAGGGTGCAGATGGGATCATGTGGGAGCAAGTCGGGGGACATAATGGTGACACCCGGATGTGCTCCCCCTTTTACAATGCACATGCGTTAACGCGTTTATGTGAATATTACAACATTGACATGACAAGACGCCGGTGTGTTCGCAAAAGAACCAGTTCTCGCCAACGGAGTGCACAACTGGCAATGTGCACAACAAAGGCAACAAAATACATATATATGACGAGACCGGCCCTAGTTCTATTTTTGATTCCCTTGATAATAAAAACTATAACAAACCCCAAACATACTTTTAACACTAAGTGACTAGTGCTCCACTCAAATCACAACACCTTTAACACTAGACAACTAGTGCTCTCCCCAAATCACAACAGTATCACTTTACAAATACACACAACTTAAACACGCCTGCTGTCTAATTCAACTGTGTTAGCAAATGTTACGCTTTATCCTGCAACCGCGTCAGCAAGATTCAGGTGTCTCAACACTATGAGCAAACAGAATGTTGTATAATTTAATTGAAAAATTATTAATATACTAAACATGTGCGATAAGGACGCTATAGCAACAAGTTCTTATACCGCAATATGTGCAAATAAAGGTTAACAAATTTCAAAACAATATTTTAAATGATCAATTGACATTATCACCAATTTTTAAATGAGAATGATTTGCTCCGGTATACATTGGTGACCAATATTCCAAACCCTCAAAAAAAATTATTGTGCACAAAGATTGATTCAATCTATGTTTAGCATTTTATTTTGTAAGCACAATGATTGCGTTCATTTGATTATCTTGAAATTCGATCAATAAAGGTCTTATTAAAAAAATGTGGCTTTGGAAAATAAAAATATTGCTTGTTTTTTTGTTTTCCAATGAAATCCTTGTTTTGAGATATGCGGATAATTTTTATTCATTTGAAAAAATGAATTAATAAAAGGTCTGTTGGATAAATTTCGAAAAAAAACTTTTTCTTCCTTTTTCTACTTTATTGCGTCCTTTATCGACGACTTATTATACTAAACATTTTCATTAGTTGTTACGCAATCAATATATTTATCTATACCATTTATAATGAATGCTGCTGTAACGACAATATTTTTCAACACCATTTCCATGATGCTCTTTTGCCAAACCCTGCGGATTGCTTTAGTCCAGTGTATTCGCCGCCAAGCGCTACACCCGCCCATTGCACCGGAAATTTCACCGCTGCCGCCGCCCGCATCCAGCCCAGTCAACACTCACATGGAAACCCAAGCGGCCATATCCAAGGCAACCCATCCCCATTGCCACCACACACCTGGTACCCGCCCACTAAGCAACAAGCTCTGTCTAACCGCCACCTGCTACAGTGGCCAAAGCAACAATACCATTGGCGGAATAAGCAACAGCATATACAGGCTCACCATTCCCTACCTCAGCACCTGGCTTCTTCTCGTTCAGGCCCTCCTGGGTATGGGCGTAACCATGAGCACTTTCATTTGGCACACAGCTGGGTTTGACCAATGCAATGCACTGATGTACGTAACTTTGGTTGGATTCCACGCAGGGCTTAGCCTGTTATTCATGGCATCAGCGGTGCAGACCCATTTAGCAAACAAACAGTGCATAAAAATATTCTTTATCGTTGCTGTGGGCGTAATGGCTCATTTCGTCATTTTGGGGTTGGAAATTAGCCACGGCTCGGCCATGGGCACTTTGCAAAATGGCATCTGCCTCGTGGATATTGTGCAGCCCACGGGGTGGCTTGGCAAACTACCCATGTACACGGGGCTGTTGCACTTTCTAATGAGTTTTCTCTCCGCCGTTTCCTTCATCAACGGCAGTTTCGGGATATGCGCGAGGTCGCGGTTTCGCTCATCGAGAGAAATTTCATTCGTCATGATGATCTACAAGGGACTTGGCCTTTTCTTTTCAGCGTGGCTTTTAAACACATTGCTTAGTGCTGTGGTTATTGCTATGGCTGCTACAGGAAATTTCCATTATGAGCCTGTGTGGGCTTTGCAGTGGGCTTTGGTTTCGCGATGTTTGGCCGCAGCGCTGTGGCATAGGGGGAATACGGATGGGAGGGCACATTTGAATGTGTTTTGGAGCTCGGACCAGTATTTGGTTTGGCACCCGGTTGCTACAGAGCATGATATTTGGCGCGATACTCCGTCTGCGTCTTATTACTTTATGGTCGTCAAGTCGCTATTTTTCAGAGACCTTTCTTGGAGGCTAATGAGCCCGACCACCATTGTGCCCTGTGGCCACGGGTGGTACTGTTGCTAGCTATAGGGCCGATCGTTCGTCGAATCACAACACGGTTTTCGACGAGATCATCCACTGCACCACCTGTACATGCGGCGTACAACACTAAACATACTTGTGTTCAAAAAAGTTACCATTGTCATT